GGCAGGGTCCGCGAAGGCCCGGCAAAGGCCCGGATTACAAGTATGCTATTTTCTCGTTATTCTCAGATTTTTCAATCGATCCGTTTCTCGTTTTATCAATGTTTTGGTATTCTAGATAGATAGATTGATAAGTTTATTAAAGAAGGGTCGGAGCCACTGACTCTTTTTTCTAGGCCAGTTTTTCATGAATTTTTTTAATTTTCAGTCTATTTTTCACAATTTTCGATCGACCTGATATAATTATGGTCTAAACGGAAATTGTCATAAAATTAAAAATTTATTCAAGGTTTATTCCGAAAACCCAAAAAAAATTATGAAAATGTCTGAAAATAATTTTTTCTAAAACTTGATTGAAGGCATCAGTTTTTGTACGAACTGTCAGAATATGCTGTTTTAAAGGTGGGGGGACAGGAGATTTTTCGTAGTTTTTTTTGTATCTAGAGTATGCATTCTACCGTAACGGTGTACAACGCTTAATGTCACTCTGCGTACAGCTGTCGTCCTCGCCTTTATGTATGCAATCAAGCAGCGGCTTTCTCTTTGCACGCGTAGCTCAGTCGGTAGCGGCGCCGCACCCTCAATCATCGCCCTCACAAGTTCAACTCTTCGAGGGGCATCTTTGAACGAAATTTCGAGAACATTATTTTTTTTTCATGTCCCCCCACCTTTAACACTATTTTAACACCTTCCAACAAAAAAAGTTCGATTTTGCTTTCTAGAAAACATGAGATTTTTCATTTCTTTTTTCAGGGTGTCGTATAGATATTGACCGCTTGCAAATGGGTTTTTTGGATGGTACATGTTCAGAGAAAATGCTAAAATTATGAAACTTTGTCTCCTGGGGTTATTTTTGATTGTGAATCGAATGGCGTTAACCGTTTGTTGATATCTCTTCTAGTTTTTTCTGTGCGCCCAAAAAAGGGGGGGGGGGGTTGTCGTATAGATATTGATCGCACTGTATGTAGAAATCGAAAAATGAATGTTTTTGTTCATAAAATTCCAAAAATAAATGTTTTTGGAATCTTAAAATTTCAAATTTTTCAGTTCCGCGGCACATTGGGAAAACCCACAAATCGATATTGTGTGGTTCGAGACGACTTCTGTATGTATACATATCTTTCAGATGAGGTAAGATTTAAGATTGCTCAGCTTTAAAGTTTTGGGATTTTCGAATTACTACAGTAACCCTACACTAATTCTCCAGAGTAACTTTAGGCCTTCTACAGTAGTCAATGAGTACTGTAGGAGTCCTACTGTAATCCATGACTATTGTAAATTGTCTTACTGTAGTTTTGTAGGATTACTATACTCCTTAGAATCTTAAGGTTACTGTAGCCCTCCCAATTCGTCGGATTTTCGGCGTGTTTGAGCTACAGTAATACAGTTTTAAAGGAATTGCTCAGCCTTATTTGTGGTTACAGTAGCCTTGAATCTAGAATACGGTACTTACAGTAGTCTAGTAGGATTACTGCCCCTCTAGAAGTCTCAAGGTTACTGTAGCTCTGCTAGGTTCATTTTTCGCCGTTTCTCCTCATTTTTCGACCTACAGTAACCCAACTTCTTAGGGATTGCTCAATTTCAAATCTTGAGGCTACAGTAACCCAGAACCTACAGTACTGGATTACGGTACCTACAGTAGGATCACTGTTCCTCTGAAAATAGCTCTTCTAAGCCTATTTCAGCTCATTTTTCGTCGTTTTTCGCCGTTTTTTCAACCTACAGTAACCCCATTTTTGAGGATTGCTCAATTTTAGCTGTTGATACAGTAACCATGACACAAAAATACGGTACCCACAATAGTCTGGAGCGATTACTGTAGCTCTAGAGTTCACAAGGTTACTTCTAGATCATTTTTTGCCGTACTTTCGACTTACAGTAACACAACTTCGTGAGAATTGCTCAGCCTCAGTTGTGACTACAGTAACCTAGCAAAACCTATCATACCCAAAATAATGGGTTACGGTATCTAAAATAAGCTAACTGTACCTCTGAAAAAAGCTCTTCTAGGCCTAATCTAGCTCATTTTTCACCGTTTTTCGCAGTTTTTTCGACCTACAGTAACCCAAAATTTCCCAAAATTTTCAGGACAAAACTGCACTAGCAATGTTGCCCCTTCCCGGATGTGAAGTCAAAATTTGTGGCGAAAAGTTTACATTTTCGGTCCGCGTCGGGGCCCGCCGGATGTACACACTGACCGCCCAGGACGAAGAGGACCAAATGAAATGGATGGCAATTTTGGACCTGGCCGCAAACGCTCATTTGAAAAATCAACGGAATTCTGGATCTGAGCAATCGGATTAAATTTTGAAATTTTTTCAAAAAAAAATTATCGAGAAAAAACCGCCCCCTTTTTCCTACTGTACACTTTGTCATGTCTTCCTCATCTACACATTCATTCTCAGTCTTGAAATAATGACATATCCCTTTTGACTCCGCCCCTTTTTTGGATCTGACTCCGCACACTTTTAATGCCCCGCCCACTCGTTCAGGCTCCGCCCACTTTTTCTCCACTGTTCAAAAAATCACCTCATTTTCTTTTGAATCTAGTCATTCTTATCCCTTACTTACAATTTTAGAAGAAATTTTGAGATTTTTGAAAAAAACAATTTTTCAAAAATTTCAAATTTCCCTCCTCTATCTCGACGAGTTTTCTCACTTTTTAAAACTTTTTTTTCCTCTTTTTTTCATTTTTTTTTTCATTTTTTGTCTTAATTTTCACAAATCTTTTCTGAAAATGAATTTTTGAAAAACTGAAATTTTGGAACTTTTCCAATTAGTCGGAAATCGCTACTTTTCGACTTCTAATACTCAATTTTCGTTGTTAAAATTAAAAAAATCGAGTTCTGCATCAAAAACTACCCCAGAAACCAAAAAATAATGAAGAATTCCACGATGGCCGAGTTTTTGAAATTTCTAGGCCACCATTTGGAAAGTTAGGCCATGAGCGTTTTTGAGTCGCGAAACAAGTTTTCTAGGGTAGTTTTTCAGAAGGAATTCGAATTTTGCGTCTATTTCTTATCAAAATCCATAGGGATACCAGAAAAATCAATTTTCGAACAATCTAAAATTCAATTTTTTTGAACAAGTCAAAAATCGGCGTTTTTCGACATTAAGCGTTCTATTCCACAAGTTTCAATTATGAAAATTGGGTTCCTCATCAAAAACTACCCAAGAAAACATGAAAAAATCAATAATTTCATTGTGGCCGTTTTTGGATTTTCTAGGCCACCAGATGCAAAAGTTAGGCCATGAGCGTTTTTGAGTTGCGAAACAAGTTTTCTAGGGTAGTTTTTTATGAGGAATTCGAATTTTGTGTCTATTTCTAATCAAAATCCATAGGAATACCAGAAAAATCAATTTTCGAACAATCTAAAATTCAATTTTTTTTGAACAAGTCAAAAATCGGTTTTCGACATTAAGCGTTCTATTCCACAAGTTTCAATTATGAAAATTGGGTTCCACATCAAAAACTACCCCAGAAAGCATGAAAAAATCAATAATTTCATTGTGGCCGAGATTTGGATTTTCTAGGCCACCAGATGCAAAAGTTAGGTCATGAGTATTTTTAGTCGGGAAATCAGTTTTCTAAATTTTTTATGAAGAGCTCGAATATTGTGTGTATTTTTCACAAAAGCTTATGGGAATACCAGAAAAATCAAATTTCGAAAAGTTTTGAATTTTTTCAAAAATTTATTTAAAAAACCATTTTTTTTTTTCGTTCCCAATTGTTTAATTTGCAATGCTAAAACTACGAAAATTGAGTTACTCATCGAAAAATACTCTAGAAACCGTGAATAAACGAAAAATTTCATGGTGGCCGAGTTTTTGAAATTTCTAGGCCACCAGATGCAAAAGTTAGGACATGAGCATTTTTGAGTCGAAAAAAAATGTTTTTCTAAACTAGTTTTTTATGAGAAATCCGAATTTTTGTTTTGTTCCTAACAAAAACCAATGTGAGTTACAGAAAATTAGGTTTTTGACAACTTACCGAATTCCAAAAAAATCTAAGTTTCCAGTCAAAATTGTTTTGCTGTGTGTCTGTTTGTGCAGATTGTTCATTTTCAAACACCAAAATTTTGTCAAAAATTTTCAATAATTATATGGAAAAAAACGCCCACTAATTGCTAGGTGACAACTGAGAAAAAAAAATGACATTTTTGAGAAATTGCTGAGCTTAAAATTTTTATATTTATCTAAAAAAATGGATTCCTACGATATTTCAATGAAGGCATCTCTGGATTATGATTATTCTGAAAACACGGAAATCGAAACTTCCACTTATATTCTTACAGTAATCCTCATAATTTTTGCCATATTCCTACTATCATTTTTGGTGTTTTGTTGTGTGGTTCGATATTTTAAAAATTCGAGAAAAATCCAAAAAAATTCTGAAAATTCGGATTCTGAAGACGAGGAAGAAGGTTCAGAAGACATTGATGATTACGATGGATCGGAATTTGATACGGAATATTTGATAAGGAAGAGACAGGAGAGAAGTCAGAGAAAAAATCAAATTTGGATTGAAATGGAGAAATTCTGAATTTCTAAAAATTCGAAAAAAAATTTAGTAAGTTTTTTCCAACTATCTGGCTCATCAATTTCTTTTCTCGTCAAGTTTTTTTCCTGCAATACATTTTTTATCACTGATCACTTAATTAATTTTTTTAATTTAAAATGACATTTTTCCACAATAAATCATTCAAGCATTGATTTTTCTGGTATTCACATGAATTTTTGTTTGAAATGAATATGAAATTCGAATTTCTCATAAAAAACTAGACTAGAAAACTGATTTTCTGATTTGAAAACGCTCATGGCCTACCTTTGCATCTGGTGGCCTAGAAAATCCAAAAACTCGGCCACCTCCAAAAATTTCGTTTTTTCAAGGTTTCTGGAGTAGTTTTTGATGAGGAACTCAATTTTCGCAATTTAAGCATGTGAAATTGTGTGTTTGAAATAAAAAAAATGCCGATTTTTGACTTATTCAAAAAAATTGAATTTTCGGTTTTTCAAAATTTGATTTTTCTGGTATTCTTTTGGATTTTGGTTAGAAATGAACACAAATTTTGGATTTCTCATGAAAAATTAATCTAGAAAAATGAGTTTCCGACCTAAAAACGCTCATGGCCTAACTTTTGCATCTGGTGGCCTAGGAATTTCAAAAACTCGGCCACCATGTAATTTTTCGTTTTTTCTTGGTTCCCGGGGTAGTTTTTAATGAGAAACTCAATTTTCGTAGTTTTAGCATTGCAAATTAAAAAATTGGGAACGAAAAAAATGGTTTTCGAAATAAATTTTTTTCAAAAAATTCAAAAAAGTTCGAAAATCGATTTTTCTGGTATTCCCATGAATTTTTGCGAAAAACACACACAATATTCAAGCTCTTCATGAAAAAATAGCCTAGAAAACTGCTTTCCCGACTAAAAAACGCTCATGGCCTAACTTTTGCATCTGGTGGCCTAGAAATTTTTAAAACTCGGCCACCATGTAATTGTTCGTTTTTTCTCAGTTTCTGGGGTAGTGTTTGATGAGGAACTCAATTTTTGATGTCTAAAACCTTGAAAATGAGATGTTGCATCTGAAAATTGGAATTTTGCAAAAAACAGGCACACAAGCCATCAACAAAAAATTTGCACCTGTTTTCCAGCTAAAACATCACATGATATTTCTGATTTTCAGATTCTAGAAAATTCGATTAACCTTTCTCAAAAATAGTATTTATAAGCAGCTGGAAAGATAAACAATTTTCGCTATTTTCACTTTTTTGTCAGATTTTCAGAACTTAATTTGCTGAAATTATACTTAAAATTTTCTGCTAAAAATGCACATTTTTCTCAATTGCTCATCCTTAACTTCGATTGCTCATGAAAAGTGGATAATTGGATCAATGGCAATGCCAAAAATGCTATTTTTGTACCTCGGTTTCATTATTCTCCTATTTGTTCTATTTTTGATTATCAATAAGTGCTTTTCCAATGCTCAAAAATCTGGAATTTTCGAGGAGAACGATTTTTTAAAGATTCCAGAAGATTCTGGAGATTCTGGAAATTTTGAGGAGGACACTGGGAAACTTCTCAAAGATCGAGAAGAGCAGGAAAAGCGACTCATCGAATGTTTGAAGTCAATCGGATTTTATTGATTTTTGTAGGTCACATATCTCAAAAACTACAGTAGCTATCAAAACGTAAAATGCTACAAAAATGTGTAAAATTTTATGCTGAGCAATTTTGCAGTTGACACTTTTTTGTTAGGTATTGAAGTTTTTGAGG